CCCAAACCCATAAGGGAACAGAGAAATTCTGTGTGCAAGCTGCGGTCACCACTCTTTCGGGCCACCCTGTACGATGCATCCGATTGAGAGGACCTTTCAACACCAAATGAGCGAAATACAGCCAAAAAAATGTTGGAACCTTTTGTCCGCCACTGTACATGTAAAATATGCTAATTTACTCGGTAATTCGGTGGACTATGGCGCGTGGTTAGATACAACGTCATTAAAATTGTAGCCGAGCTGGAGATGGACTGCACGTTCCAATAGATCGTGAATTAATATTATCAAATTGATCGTGTCAGCCCAGATGGCATAACACGGCTTATTGACGACTTCTTTGATGTTTAAAGCGCACGTTCAGGGAGGGGCCGTGCACTCGTCCCAACGTGTACACCCTCTGGACGTAGGGACCGCGCGCACTGCCTGCCCGTGCGGTGACAGGCCATTCCCCTCCTTTCCGGGGTGAGGCGCCCCTCGGCCCCTCGCCTGGTTGCACCCCTGACTAACTGGTATGCGACCGCGCCTCCCGATCGGGAGGCCCGGGTTCGACCCCCGGCCGCGGCAAAAATCTTTGCTTTTTTCCAAAAAAAAACGTCCCTGAACGTGCCCTTTACTAGGGAATGGTTTCGGGCGGACATCGGACCTAGATATGTGAGTATGTGCATCTTGTAGATCTCAACGAGACGAAACGATTGATGTAACTTTTAGCTGCCAACGCCTTTAAATAAAAAAGTTACAACGATTTAAAGTTTTCTGGCATGCGTTCATAAGCGCTCCCCGCAACCCAGTCGCCATGGTCTGGTGGCCTAGTGGTCTAGAGGTCGGCGTCTGGGGAATCTAACGAGGGTTCTAACCCGCTCACGATTTTTTTTTGAATACCGCTCTCTATCCCGAAATTCTGTATCCCGAAACTCCCAATCCCGAAATTCTGTATCCCGAAACACCCAATCCCGAAACTCTCTATCCCGAAAACTCTCTATCCCGAAAACTCTCTATCCCGAAAACTCTCTATCCCGAAAGCTCTCTATCCCGAAAACTCTTTATCCCGAAAACTCTCTATCCCGAAAACTCTCTATCCCGAAACTCAGTATTTTGCGTTTCCTAACGCCCTACATCCTTGAGGGCATCGGAAAATCATTTTATCAAATTTCCGAAACGGAAAAATAGCGGAAAACTATTTACTTCAAAGATCTAGTCTGGTGTTCGGCACGTTAAAGCTAGCTAACTTGTTTCGGGATATGGAGTTTCGGGATAGAGAGTTTTCGGGATAAAGAGTTTTCGGATAGAGAGCTTTCGGGATAGAGAGTTTTCGGGATAGAGAGTTTTCGGGATAGAGAGTTTTCGGAATAGAGAGTTTCGGGATAGAGAGTTTCGGGATTGGGAGTTTCGGGATACAGAATTTCGGGATACAGAATTTCGGGATAGGGGAAATACCCCTTTTTTTTTTGCTTTTTTGTCCGGAGGGTCATTGCTGTCTGAAGGCCGTGAAAAACTTTTTGTGCATGAGTTATACACCAAAAAGCGCTCCTAGCGATAACACCACTCCTAAACTTTTTGCTACATTTTGAAAATTTTCAATATATTCATAGTAGGGCTAGTTCAGGACAAAATAAAACATTTTTCATGGAAATTGGGCTACGATACAACGTTGTAAAAAAATGTGTCCTCAATTTTGGCGGCACCTCTAAATATTTTCGAGGCGTGAACCCGGCACCAGCCAATAGGATCAAAAAATTTAATTTTTCTCCCGAAGCTGTATTTTTACTGGGAGCGCTTCTTGGTGTATAACTCATGCACAAAAAGTTTTTCACGGCCTTCAGACAGCAATGAGGGACCTTCGGACAAAAAAAGCAACAATAAAAAACGTGAGCGGGTTCGAACCCTCGTTAGATACCCCAGATGCCGACCACTAGACCACTAGGCCACCAGACCATGGAGACTGGGAGGGCTTATGAAGGCATGCCAGAAAACTTTAAATCGTTGTAACTTTTTTATTTAAAGGCGTTGGCAGCTAAAAGTTACATCAATCGATTCGTCTCGTCGAGATCTACAAGATGCACATACTCACATATCTAGGTCCGATGTCCGCCCAAAACCATTCCCTAGTTAATGGTGATTGGATACCTCAGAGACTATCGAGAGCAAAGGGTAATCTTTTAACTATTGCTATCCGCTTTGGGTGGGATTTCTCGACGCCGGCGCCGAAACAACAATTGGAGCAAGCGTGGTGACTAAAAATTCGCGATTAAACGACCATTTGCTGAGAAAACCTGCATGTGCCCTGTTGAAAACACCCAAAACCCATCTTTTATATTTCTCGATGTACAGGGTGGCCCGAAAGTACGTTGACCGGGTATCAGAAATATCCTATGTCAAGATGACCCTGCCAGTACTTATAGTTTTTTAGAAAATCCGAAAAAACCCGGTCAACGTACTTTCGGGCCACCCTGTAGATGATATTCAACACCGCGAAAATTTCCGTGCCACCGACGAATGTCATCGCACCAAGGTGACCCATGACTAAACCAAATTCTCGCAAAATAAGCGGATTAGCTTCCGGCTCACCTGCTGGCATCCAGTTTGCTATTTTGAATCCGCTGAGCACGAGCAGCGAGAGGGCGAGGGTGATCCAGACAGCAAGAAGGCATGCCTGAATCCCTATGTGGTAAGCTTTTACTGACCTGTATCAATTTTAGGAAAGGCTCTACTTTACCCCCAGTATATTTTTTGATGATCTATCGAATGGCGTAGCCAAAACCCGGACAAACTAGCGGAAATACCGTAAAAAAAAATTTGTAACTTCCGGCTGGGGGGGTAAAGTATAGTCTAGCCGAATTTTGGAGCCCCCAATGACACAAGATATAACGTTAACTCACCGCCGTGATCACTGCAGCAATAGCGTTCCAATGCATTTGCCTTGTTTTCGCGCTCAATTCTGTATGTTCCTTCAGGTGGGCGATGATTGCATGCGAGATGATAGCACTCGCCCCGTAGCAATAAATGATTAATAGCATCAAATTGATGAGATAGGCCAGGATCCACCGGTTTAACGAAGAGTCATAGAAGGCTACACGGCGATTATCAGCGATAAATCGGGCCAAGGTTTTAGGGTACAGACCGGGTGGAACGTCTTCGGGGTTTACCCGCGAGACTCCTACCAAAATAGCGACCGGGCCACAAAACAGGCAACCTTGGATGGTGATTGTGAAGTGATACGTACGTTCGCTGTAATGACGTAGAGATGGGAACATTTTCAATAAAACCTGATCGACCGGATCAAGATAAAATATCGATATTGGAACCAGAGAAGCCCAGCATAGGCACAAAGGGCTAAAGACGTGACAAGCGTGACGTATTGCCAATGGCAAGAGATCCCGATATCCACAAGAAAATTGTCAACGTAGAGCATTGCATAGGGTAGACAACCTGTCGGCCTTGACATCAAGAGCAACGTGTCGAACAGGAATGCGCAAATCTACAAAAACATTAATGTTTCATTGCCACCTGTCGCCTTACATGAAGAATGTAGAGGTAAAACCGGTATATCTTCATACCCGACGGACTCTGGTAAGTGATCAGATACATTATCAAGGCGAAAATCGCAGGGCTCAGCACCGATTGTACATTGAAATAGACCCTAAAAAAGAGTTGAAGATCCGAGCTCGAGTACCATTTAAAAACTGGTTGTTTCACAATAGCATCCACGTCTAGCGCAAAATCCATCGCCTCAAAGTGAGTAATTCGAAAAAAAAGCGCATTTGTGTCGCGGGGTTCCGGTTTACACCTGTTGAGACGTTTTCGTTGGTCTTTTGATTGGCGATGGCCATTTGCAAAAGTTCCTAGTGGAGCGGCGACAGTCCAAAGGCCAAACGATGAATGATGACTAATACTGGCACGACAACATTGTTCAAAGTCAGGACATGACGACCTTTTACTGTTTCCTGCCTACACAAAAAAAAACAATTTACTTCCAAAACTGGATGGAGTCGTTTAAAATGATTTTCGACAATTCGACAATCGGCCCTCATTGACATATTGGGGAAGAAATCGATATTCGTGCTCAATACCTCGAACTCACCTTCTGGCTCGAGGGTTCGCTCACCGATCTAGAGGTTCACAAGCCGATCGGAAAATATCGACGGCTGGACCTGCCAGGAATGAACAACCCGAGCGAAGAAGTGGCAGAGTGGCTCAACGAAAATACAGACGAGTTTGCCACTATTTGCTGGGCGATTCGACCTGAATGTCGCCGAATTTCTTAGCAAATACCCGAGATTTTGCGTTGAGGATATCGTGCTGCTTCCCATCATCTATTACCGCATCGAACGTGCTGATGGCGAGGCGTTATTTGTAATGTGGGCCGGAATTGCTATGATGGATACGCAGTTATCGCTGACGCGAAGCAGATACCTTGTGTACCGGAGGTTGGGAGATGCAGGCATGGTTTATGAATAAATGCTTATTATACCCTTACGGCTTTCAAGCACCCGGTATTAGACATGATTTTGAGCTGCAGTTTTAACCCTTAATATATTTTGTATGCTCTATCGAATGGCGGAGCGCAAATCCTGGCCGAATAGCGTAGATGCCGAAACTTTTGGGAAACCGGGGAGGAGTAAAGTCTAGCGGGCATTTTTTCACACTTACTTACTTTTTACTTTGGTGAAATGTACCGGATTTCTGAAGCTCTTCCGATGAAAAACCATATCTAAAAAGTTGTCTAAAATGCTATGCAATAATAAAAATAGTCAATACAATTTTAGGCGAAATTCGCTTTGCTGACGCCAAAGCAAGGCAATATGTTCAAAACCACAGCACGTATTGTATAAATTTCGATGATGAAATTCGCTATATAAAAATCACAGCAGGAGCTGAATCGTATGGTCTCAATGCCGGTTTTACTTCTTTTGTTTATCGCGCCGATTCTGGCCTATGAAGTCCAGGTCCCAGCCGAACATTTGGTGAAGGACATCACCGAGTATCCCTATATGGTGGCCATCATGGAAAAGAAGGCCGCGGAACCGTATGAATAGAGATCTAAAATGAATGGGTTTTGAAATAGATGGCAACACGTCCACAAGTGCAGCGGATCGCTCGTCGACAAAAATTGGGTGATGACGGCGCCGGCGTGTGTGGAAGGGTGGGTTGCTCTAGGGTCCAAGTTCCAAGGTATTTTCGGCAATACAATTTCAAAAGCAAATGATCACGCGCCCTTGAAACCGCCACAAACTGCTTCTGCTAGCTTATTCTTCTAGCAACATCGAGAACTTACTTGTTGTCGCTGGAGCTGCAGATCTTCGCGCTGGCCTACTACTTAAGGTATTTATTGGAATTGATGAGACGAACTCGATCGGTACGATATGTAGCAAACCCGAGAAGTTGCCGAGAAGCACATCCAAACCAACATCAACTCCCACCTTGCGCTGATTCGGGTTACTGCTTGAGCGTCGTTGACGTGCACTTTAGTTGAAAACCCCGCTGGATTTTGGCGCCAGTGTTAACGCCACGGTTCTGACCGACTCGGCGGGAAAGGTCATCGACGATCCGCGGGAGATGAAGGCTTTGGGCTGGGGCCATCCGGGTTCAGGTGAGGTCTACTTCATGCTTTGGGACGCCCCACCACCCCCAAGACCTCTCCTAATTACAGGTCTAGTTGAACGGCTTCGGATCATCACCGTCAACGAGAACAAACAGACATGTCAATCCCGTGGGTGTTTAGTTGCAAGGACAAACGGATAGCATGTTTCAGTGATACCGATGCAACTTTGCTGGGTGGTTAGCTATCCGGGGGTTTGCCAGGTGGGTCGATACCATTTTAAGTCGAATGATACGTTCAAATTTGCACATGAATTCATAGGGTGACGTCGGCGGAGCGCTCATATATCCGGCACTGAATTCGGCCAACCAGATCATCTACGTGCAAATCGGCGTCATCGCCCCGTACGTCGATTCGTGCGCTAGCAAAAATGATCAGGGTAAGCGGGTGCTAATGACGTGAGACATCGCATTTTTAGCGCATTTCTTGTGGCTGCGTACGCGCTGCGATTGGATCGCCAGGATCGTTGGGCACAAGGTGTGCAGGGAGCTGGGTACTTTCTAGCACCACGTTAAAATCAGAATAAATTGTGATGTATATGTTATTAAAGGGTCAAGGAAAACTGGTCTTCTCGCCCCAGTACACGCAAGTGGAGTAGTCTGGTCTATTTCACACTTTTGGACGCCCCACCATCCCCACGACGTCCCCTAATTACAGGTCTAGTGGGACGTATTGGGTCCAATCGACTTGAAATGTTGAACACAGTTGCACGAAGGTATTTAAAAAGTTCAAGCAGACTGTAGCGACCGAAATTACATTCAAAAGGATAATCGAAAAATGAAAAGAGTCGAAAAACAGTATTTTTAGAAGTACTCGAAAATTACGTTGAAAACACCCAAAACCCATCTCTTATATTTCTCGATGTAGATGATATTCAACACTGCGAAAATTTCCGTGCCACCGACGAATGTCATCGCACCAAGGTGACCCATGACTAAACCAAATTCTCGTAAAATAAGCGGATTAGCTTCCGGCTCACCTGCTGGCATCCAGTTTGCTATTTTGAATCCGCTGAGCACGAGCAGCGAGAGGGCGGGGGTGATCCAGACAGCAAGAAGGCATGCCTGAATCCCTATGTGGTAAGCTTTTACTGACCTGTATCAATTTCAGGAAAGGCTCTTCTTTGCCCCCCCCCGAGCCGGAAGTCCCCCAAAAGTTGTTCGTTTCCCTTATTTATATTACATTATTTTGGACTGTGAATCGAACTCCCAATATATTTTTTCATGATCTATCGAATGGCGTAGCCAAAACCCGGACAAACTAGCGGAAGTACCGTAAAAAAAATTTGTAACTTCCGGCTGGGGGGGGTAAAGTATAGTCTAGCCGAATTTTGGAGCCCCCAATGACACAAGATGTAACGTTAACTCACCGCCGTGATCACTGCAACAATAGCGTTCCAATGCATTTGCCTTGTTTTCGCGCTCAATTCTGTATGTTCCTTCAGGTGGGCGATGATTGCATGCGAGATGATAGCACTCGCCCCGTAGCAATAAATGATTAATAGCATCAAATTGATGAGATAGGCCAGGATCCACGGGTTTAACGAAGAGTCATAGAAGGCTACACGGCGATTATCAGCGATAAATCGGGCCAAGGTTTTAGGGTACAGACCGGGTGGAACGTCTTCGGGGTTTACCCGCGAGACTCCTACCAAAATAGCGACCGGGCCACAAAACAGGCAACCTTGGATGGTGATTGTGAAGTGATACGTACGTTCGCTGTAATGACGTAGAGATGGGAACATTTTCAATAAAACCTGATCGACCGGATCAAGATAAAATATCGATATTGGAACCAGATAAGCCCAGCATAGGCACAAAGGGCTAAAGACGCGACAAGCGTGACGTATTGCCAATGGCAAGAGATCCCGATATCCACAAGAAAATTGTCAACGTAGAGCATTGCATAGGGTAGACAACCTGTCGGCCTTGACATCAAGAGCAACGTGTCGAACAGGAATGCGCAAATCTACAACAAAATTAATGTTTCATTGCCACCTGTCGCCTTACATGAAGAATGTAAAGGTAAAACCGGTATATCTTCATACCCGAAGGACTCTGGTAAGTGATCAGATACATTATCAAGGCAAAAATCGCAGGGCTCAGCACCGATTGTACATTGAAATAGACCCTAAAAAAGAGTGGATGATCCGAGCTCGAGTACCATTTAAAAACTGGTTGTTTCACAATAGCATCCACGTCTAGCGCAGAATCCATCGCCTCAAAGTAAGGTTTATTCGAAAAGAAAGCGCATTTGTGTCGCGGGGTTCCGGCTTGCACCTGTTGAGACGTTTTCGTTAGTCTTTTGATTGGCGATGGCCATTTGCAAAAGTTCCTAGTGGAGCGGCGACAGTCCAAAGGCCAAACGATGAATGATGACAAATACTGGCACGTCAGCATTGTTCAGAGTCAGGACATGACGACCCTTTTACTGCTTTCTGCCTACACAAAAAACAATTGACTTCCAAAACTGGGTGGAGTCGTTTAAAATGGTTTTCGACAATTCGACAATCGGCCCTCATGGACATATTTGGGGAAGAAATCGATATTCGTGCTCAACACCTCGAACTCACCTTCTGGCTCGAGGGCTCGCTCACCGATCTAGAGGTTCACAAGCCGATTGGAAAATATCGACGGCTGGACCTGCCAGGATTGAACAACCCGAGCGATGAAGTGGCAGAGTGGCTCAACGAAAATACAGACGAGTTTGCCACTATTTGCTGGGCGATTCGACCTGAATGTCGCCGAATTTCTTAGCAAATACCCGAGATTTTGCGTTGAGGATATCGTGCTGCTTCCCATCATCTATTACCGCATCGAACGTGCTGATGGAGAGGCGTTATTTGTAATCTTGAACCGGAATTGCTATGATGGATACGCCGTTATCGCTGACGCGAAGCACACGCCTTGTGTTCCGGAGGTTGGGAGATGCAGGCATGGTATATGAATAAATGCTTATTATACCCTTACGGCTAAGCACCCGGTATTAGACATGATTTTGAGCTGCAGTTTTAACCCTTAATATATTGTGTATGCTCTATAAAGGGCAGAGCGCAAATCCTGGCCGAATAGCGGTAGATGCCGAAACTTTTGGGAAACCGGGGGAGGAGTAAAGTCTAGCGGGCATTTTTTCACACTTACTTACTTTTTACTTTGGTGAAATGTACCGGATTTCTGAAGCTCTTCCGATGAAAAACCAAATCTAAAAAGTTGTCTAAAATGCTATGCAATAATAAAAATAGTCAATCCAATTTGATGCGAAATTCGCTTTGCTGACACCAAAGCAAGGCAACATGTTCAAAACCGCATCACGTATTGTATAAATTTCGATGATGAAATTCGCTATATAAAAATCACAGCAGGAGCTGAATCGTATAGTCTCAATGCCGATTTCACTTCTTTTGTTTATCGCGCCGATTCTGGCCTATGAAGTCCAGGTCCCAGCCGAACATTTGGTGAAGGACATCACCGAGTATCCCTATATGGTGGCCATCATGGAAAAGAAGGCTGGGGAACCGTATGAATAGCGATTTAAAATGAATGGATTTTGAACTAGATGGCAACACGTCCACAAGTGCAGCGGATCGATCGTCGACAAAAATTGGGTGATGACAGCGCCGGCATGTGTGGAAGGGTGGGTTGCTCTATAGGTTGTTGGCAAGGTATTTTCGGCAATACGATTTCAAAAGCAAATGGTCGCGCGCCCTTGAAGCCGCCACAAACTGCTTCTGCTAGCTTATTCTTCTAGCAACATCGAGAACTTACTGGTTGTCGCTGGAGCTGCAGATCTTCGCGCTGGCTCAATACTTAAGGTATTTATTGGAATTGATGAGACGAACTCGATCGGTACGATATGTAGCAAACCCGAGAAGTTGCCGAGAAGCACATCCAAACCAACATCAACTCCCACCTTGCGCTGATTCGGGTTACTGCTTGAGCGTCGTTGACGTGCACTTTAGTTGAAAACCCCGCTGGATTTTGGCGCCAGTGTTAACGCCACGGTTCTGACCGACTCGGCGGGAAAGGTCATCGACGATCCGCGGGAGATGAAGGCTTTGGGCTGGGGCCATCCGGGTTCAGGTGAGGTCTACTTCATGCTTTGGGACGCCCCACCACCCCCAAGACCTCTCCTAATTCCAGGTCTAGTTGAACGGCTTCGGATCATCACCGTCAACGAGAACAAACAGACATGTCAATCCCGTGGGTGTTTAGTTGCAAGGACAAACGGATAGCATGTTTCAGTGATTCCGATGCAACTTTGCTGGGTGGTTAGCTATCCGGGGGTTTGCCAGGTGGGTCGATACCATTTTAAGTCGGATGATGCGTTCAAATTTGCACATGAATTGATAGGGTGACGTCGGCGGAGCGCTCATATATCCGGCACTGAATTCGGCCAACCAGATCATCTACGTGCAAATCGGCGTCATCGCCCCGTACGCCGACTCGTGCGCTAGCAAAAATGATCAGGGTAAGCGGGTGCCAACGACGTGAGACATCGCATTTTTAGCGCATTTCCTGTGGCTGCCTACGCGCTGCGATTGGATCGCCAGGATCGTTGGGCACAAGGTGTGCAGGGAGCTGGGTACTTTCTAGCACCACGTTAAAATCAGAATAAATTGTGATGTATAAGTTAATTAAAGGGTCAAGGAAAACTGGTCCTCTCGCGTACACGCAAGTGGAGTAGTTTGGTCTATTTCACACTTTTGACGCCCACCATCCCAGACGTCCCCTAATTACAGGTCTAGTGGACGTTTTGGGTCCAATCGACTTGAAATGTTGAACACAGGTGCACGAAGGTATTTAAAAAGTTCAAGCAGACTGTAGCGACCGAAATTACATTCAAAAGGATAATCGAAAAATGAAAAAAGTCGAAAAACAGTATTTTTAGAAGTACTCGAAAATTACTGTAGCTAACTCATATTTCAAATGTAAAAAGTCTCCACTTATACAGTAGCGGCCAAAAGTTTGTACCGACCTGCCTCGCATTCTAAGCCCCAGGATCTCGGAGAAAGGCTCCAAATTTATTCTTTTGGGAACTATACTCTAGCGCTGTATTTTAGATGCCAAAATCCCTATGCAATTGAACTGTATTTGGCTTTAAGTGGTTCTTAAAGGCGGGCGGGTTGCGTTCGATATCAAAAATTGACTGTATAAAAAGTCCACGCCAAACCGAAAATCGGGCACAGAGGTATCCAATACCATTTATTTGTTGTATAAATTTGCAAAATCGAAACTCTTCCTCTAAATGCGTGGCGGATCACTCAAACCCTAAAAATGTTACTTTCAATCCTGCTCCCTTTACTGCTATGTTTCCTGAGCATAACTGCCAAAATTCCGGATGAGCTGCTCGTCAAGGACATTGAAGAGTACCCCTATATGGCGGCGATTATGACGAAGAATCAGAGCCAACCGTGGGACCACCTTGCACCTACCACCTACCACCTAGATGGCAGCTCATCTACGTTTGTTCCGGCACCATCATTGACAAGGATTGGGTGCTGACGCCGACCGAGTGCGTCGTAGACATGTAGGTTATATTTTGGTATCAGGTGGGAAAGAAAGTATAGGCACACAATCATTGACAAGCTATTAAGACGCACTAACGCGCTCTATCCCAGGTGGACCCTCCCATGACGCACAAAAATTGCTGGAAGCCGAGATACAGCTTCAAAAAGTTTTGCCAAAAATCGGGTGAACGCCTTTGAGCCAGACATCTTTGCATAGCGCAATTTGCATGTGATACCACGTCAATCGATAGCGTTCGAGGAGTACCCAAGATATACCAAACCATCGATAAAACGTTCAAATTGGACGTGTCTGCGCGTTTTAAGTGTTTGTCAAAGATGTTGTGCCGTCACTTTCTTTCTACCCCGATAGAAGGCGATTAGCTTGTATTATCACGAGAGATCATGGCTCAGCTTGCCCTAATCCGAAGCAGGACCGAACCACAAGTAGGCTTGTAAGCTTAAGCCGATGCTTAGGAGCCAATCCCAATCGTAACAGACGTGCCTAGACCCAGCCTAACCGCTGCCTAAGCCTAAGCCTAACAATAAGCCGAAACATCGCAGCCCAAGCCTATTCCTCAACTGGAGCGAAAACTCATCGACAAAATTCAAGAATCCTATGACAAAATTGCGTCAAGCACCTCCGCAAATAAACCTTATTCTTTTTAGTCCAACCAAGGATTTGGTAGTGATTGCCGGCGTGACAGACCTGAGAACCACGTCAGAATTAAAGGTATTTAGGTCCTAACCGATATTACAGGGTGAGGCGTATATATGGCAACACCCCCAGACCATACTAATTTGCCTGCTATCGGTAAACTAATTATTTTTTCTTGGGATTGGATGTTTCCCATAAAAGAACTAGCGTTTCTTTCTGCATGAGACAAATGAAGACGGTTGCAAAATTTCTAATTTTTGATTTATATGAACGGGAAGTTTCGCGATTTTGGTGAAAAAACGAGGCGTCGGCACGCTGCTCCTAGAACCCCGGATATTGGTAGCCCTGCTCCATGGTTTTGTATTTAAGTTTAGTTTGATCGTATTTATTTGTACCAAAATTCTTTTAGTCGGGAACTGGCGAGGGAATTTTGCTATATTCAAAAAACGCACGCTTGCCCACCCCTGACCACACTTACGTTCACCACTAAAAATTAATTATAAAATCCCTGCCAATTGTATTGTTCTATTTAAGCAATTGTTTACATTGTAGGCATCGGATAAAACCAATTCCAGATGTTGAAACCAAGCAATTCAACGATTAAAGATAAAAAAGGCAATTTTACTTTTTTTACTATGATTTTTGGGGTCAGCCGAGAACAATTCTAAAATTTCTGCCTACTTAAAGGAAATGAATGGTTTTAATTACCTTTATCTGTCACTACTAGGTGGTCCACATGTTTTTTGGGGCCATTCGTGCCCAAAACGACGTTTCTGAACCATGCTGAAATTGGCTTCCAAGGGGTTCCGTGCCAGCGCCATCCTTACGACGCACAGTTTTTGCTTCAGAACAAAAGTTTGTAGGGTTGCTGCGTTCTAATATTTTAAGAGTGGTTACAGGGCACTGGTGGCTATATTTCGCAAAATTATTGAAGCCCAGCCAGCTTGCTTCATTTTTTGAAAGACCCGGGAAAGTGTTGCCATATATATGCCTCACCCTGTAATGTACCTTCCACTTAATAGCAAGTCCGTGCTGTGGCCGATAGGAGGATGCACATGGGCACGGGCACCGTCTGGCGGCCAGATCCTCATATCACGATGCTCCAGGTGGTCGAACCGAAGCGGGACAATGAATTTGAATTTCAGCTCCAAGAGCCGCTCGCTCTTGGAAATAGCGTGCGGCCAACGCTGATTCCGAGGATGAAGAAGACTAATTCGGAAGGTTCATCGATAAATCAGTTTTAGAAGGATCTCACGTGGATGAAGGCATTAGGATGGGGCCAGTCTGCTGAAGAGGGTGGGCCAGAGAGAGAGAGAGAGAGAGAGAGAGAGAGAGAGAGAGCGATAGCGTCTGTATGTGCGAGCGAAAGGCATATCAGACCCTCATTCACAACAATCATGAGTTATAGCTGGACAAGCGCCCAAAACCCGCTTCGCGGGTCTTGAGTGCAGGAATGCGGACCCAGCATTCAGCCCAGTTCCCAGCGTTCTAACCGTTTAGGCCTTCCCGAGCAACTCAGCGTCGTGGACCTCATGGTGAAGCTGGGCGATCGGCAGCTCTGCTGGGGTGGGTGCCTAATACAACACTTCCCTCACATTTAAAGGGACCTGAAAAAGAGGAAACAGAGTTGATAAAAGGGGACCACTGCCGATATCAGAGAATAAAAAGTCCACGAAATTTGGCGTTTACCGACGTAAGGGATTAGAAAAATGAATTTCGCGCAATCCGTCGACTGAAGCGATCGGCCAGCCGGGTTTCGTTTTAGGTATGTCTCTTTTATCGGCCCTGATCCCTCATATCGGGGGTAAATCCCGCTTATCCGTACAGATCCAAACATTATAGTCATTAAGTATAAAGTGACCACTTTCAGCCAGGACGATTGATGGACGTGGGGGTAGATTATGTGGAATACCCAAAGCCCCTGGAAGGCTGTGTCCGGTAAGTTAAATCGTCTCTCTTTCTCTATCTCTCTGTCTCTCGCTCTCTCTCGCTCTCTATCACCCCCTCTCGCTCTATCTCTCTCGACGCACTCACTGGGCTATAAATAGAAAATCGTTTGAGAGAGACGCCGGCGGGGCTGTCATTTACCCGTTCGTTGGCCAGAATCGTACGGTTGTCTGGGCACAACTTGCATTTGTCACGCATCGGCGTTGGAGTACTCAAACTTTAAGCGGCTGCTTTGGCGAGGAGAGCACAGGTTAGCCATTTTAATTTTGCTCTAAAGTGTCGACGTCGGGAGGGGAATTTACGCGTTCCATTGGTGCATTGTCCTGAGACCGGGCTCAACTATTGCGGGTTTCAGTCCATGGATTCCGGGAAATAGTCGAGCCTGGACTTTGGTCTTAATGGTTAGTTTTGCCCTTTAAAGCGGGAAATCCCCCCTGCAGCGGTCCGCAGACGCTCCCAATTTTCCCGATTTAGATTTCAATCGAAAGCCGCCGACAAGCTGAGGAGACATGTTTTCCATTTATTAAAATCCCGAGCTTTTGTCGCATTTTCCTACCGGCTGCAAAAAAATGCTACTCTTCAGGATGGCATTTCTACCTGCCAGATCAATGCGACTGGCTGGAACAAGGTGCCGGCCACAAGATCTGCAAAGACGAGGATTCGCTTTAAGCGGAAAGAGGCAATAAACTGTTTTTATCAACTTGTATGAAAAGCCCTCGCCGAGTCCTTGTTCCTCGACAAGCTGACTGTGCTGATTTGGCCTACGGAACCTTAGATTTGTTTCAAGCATTAGAAGAAAGAGGCAAAACTGCTCGATTTCTTTTTCTGAAAACAACGGATTCTATAGCATTTTATTATTGAAGTAACTTTTTGTAAGTCTATCGACACTCGTGTACGCGTTGCGTATTGCGCTGTCAGAGGTCATAGTGAATCTAGAGTTTGGCGCTTTTTGTCACAACCTTGGGTGCCATTCCCTGATTTACCCAAATTCCTGAGAAAAAAATAGCATCTTTCTGTTTAAAAATCACCTCCACCACGACGTGAAAAGCTCAGTAAAGCCAACTCTTTGAAAACAATAGGCCCGCTCTACTGCATAAATGGCCAATACCGAAATCGCTCTTATAAAGCTAGCCTCCGTATCAAAAATCGTATAGCCGAGATGCCGTTCCCAATTCTCCTACTTCTCTTGCCGTGCCTTTTGGGCATAAATGGAGAAGTTCCGGCCGACCAACTTGTCAACGACATCAGCGAGTACCCCTATATGGTGGCAATTATGGAAAAAATCGCTGCACAACCGTATGCTCAAAAATTTTTTGGAAAAAACAGCTGCCGAAACTAGGTGGCAGCAGCTTCATAGATGCACCGGTACGATCATCGACAAGGACTGGATATTGACAGAAGCGGCATGCGTTCCGGGGGATGGGTACGTTTATGGTGTGTACAGAGATGGGCAGCGCCATCTCTGCATGACAGTGCGCAACGAAAGGGCAGTGGACGCGTTGCGTGTCGCGGGCGACTAGGACCTGGAGAGCGAGAGAGAGAGAGAAAGAGAGAGAGAGAGAGAACACATGACTCATGCGTGACGACCGAATCCTTTAAGTTTCGTTTAGAATGCCGAAACTTCGGGGTTCGCTAGTCGTGGTTGCCGGTGTGACAAATCTACGCGTGACTTCCCTCCTTAAGGTATTTGTTCATTAATCGAACCATGCCCCGTAATAGCAAGTGCGGGAAATCGCAGAGTCGTTTGTCCAAGGTGCTCTGGCATTGGTGCGGGTGAGTCACCTCTTTTAAAGCTAACGTCCAGCATGATTTGAGGTGAAACAGTCGTTCGATATTGGGAAAAGCGTAAACATCACCATCCTGCCGAGTTCTTCCGAAAAAATGCTTCGCGATCCGATGAGGATGAAGGCCCTGGGTTTTGGGCGATCAGAACGTGGGCTTTTTAGAGGGATGAAAGAAAGAAAAAAAAAAAAAAGGAAAAAAAAAAAAAAGAGAGAGAGAGAGAGAGAGAGAGAGAGAGAGAGAGAGAGAGAGGAGAGGAAGAGAGATAACAGGCAGATAGACAGAGAGGGGGAGGGAAAGGACCTGGCGACATTTTAAAGGTCCTTTCCCAGAATCTGTCGAACGCCTCCGCGTCATGGCCGTCAATGAAGACAAAAAGCACTGTGACCGTGGTGAGTTTGTGTCTTATGCGCGGAAATTGTAATTCTTGTAAAACAGCTTATTATTAAAACGGCACATCGACTAGCAATTTATGTCAAAATTTCGTACATTTAGCCGATGACGAGTTGAGTTGCGGTCAACCCGGCATGTGCTTGGTGAGCGAATCTAGCGATAGTTTAATCATATAATGTTCTATTACTAGGGTATTGCTATCCAAGGCAAGGTAAGTCTATTTAGCGACGTCGGACCGGCTAAACCACGGCAGAAATTACCAAAAATTTCGAAATGATTTTTTGCCAAATTAACAGCATAAGTTTTCTTCCAATAATTTCTGATTGGCAAAACGAACGTAAAATATAGCGAAATACAACCAATTTTCGCGGCATTTCATATAATTTTTAGACGGCCGCAGCTTTTAAATAAATTACAAAAAAATTTCGTAACCGTTGAGTCTTCAAAAATGTACGAAAAACGATCAAAAATGTTTAGATAATTTTTACAATTCCCAGGTTTAAAGGAAGATGCCGGCGGTCCTCTGATGTACCCATTGCTGACGGGTGACGTGAAAATCGTCTACGTTCAGCTCGGCGTCAACTTGTACGCAGGCGACGGCCCATGCGATGAACCCGGAGACAAGGGTAATTAGCAAGCAATTCATTTTTGCAACGACAACCGCATTAAGGGGTATTTTTGCTTGTCTCGGAGCATTGCCAGTGGATTGAGTCAACGCTTGGCCGGAAGGTGTGCCAAGCATTGGACACCCTTTGAAGCAAATAAATTGTTAAGCTCTGTCGAAAAATTCACACGGGCCCAAAAAGTCGATTTCGCGTCAAAACGACGCGTTATAGCCAGTTCAAGTCTGTTGAGGGCCAGACGAGCTTTTGGAAGAAGCATGGCTGACAAGCTTCGAAGTATTAACACGCCCTAAAAATTGCGACTTGTGTATGACGTCCATCAATACCTCGATGAATCCGGTGTATTAGCCTTCATCTCAGGTATCTATCGACTAATCTAATCCTGGAAGGATGAATCCAAATTGTATCTCCGATTTTTGAGATTCGGGTATTTTTTTCTCGAATTTAGCATTTTTATGAAAAATACAAGTTTGTTTTCAAATTAAATTTGTGGATTGTTCCCGATATCCTGTATCCAGGAAAAAGCGTCCCCCTGACGTTCCGAAGAAAGGTCAAATCAGGATGATTTTCGCACCATTCGAGAGCTCTCAAAACTGCGAAAAACCGCTTTTTATTTTATAAAAATTTTTAGTTGGCGCTCGATACGCGATTTCTGGGAAAAGTGAAATCAGCGTTGTCCTGTTAGCGGAAGCAATCAATTTACGATGTACATGCAGATTCTGGTAAAACGACAAGTGCTGTTTTTTGCGTCTTTTCGAGAACTTTCGATAGATAACTAAATCGTCAAAATCGGACCGCCCGGTTCCACTTTTTTTTGGGACCCTTGCAAATTCGGTCCGAATCGGTAATAATTTATAGCAACGCTACTCAAAGCTTGACAGCGTTTGCTCTCAGCCCAGCAGCTAAACCGCCCTTCTCGGCGTGGTCGTTGGCCAGTACATCGATACCAAAGCAGTTTTGAGAATCGGGCCGGCTAAAACAGATTCCGCTCCCCATTTTTGAGCATCATTACCTGGCCGAACCCTCCACATGCTTCGAACCTGCTTCTTGTAGTTGTCAATGTAATAGATGTTGAGCGCGAAGAAGATCTCTGTGCTGCCGACAAAGAACCATATCGACAGGTAGCTCATCACTAATCGATGATCATTTTTATGATACTAACGACAACGAAAAAACCTTGCGGTAGCCAAGCTCCACCCTCAAGACCGGTAATCAAAACCAAAAGTCTCCGATTACATACCAAATCCCCTAAACAGGTGTAAATTGACAGTGACGGTAACCACCCACCGATATCACCCCCCCTGCAGTCTGACACTGATTCAGGTCTTCGTAAAAAATAAGGTATCCACCCCCAAAATATGATAAAGGTACACCATGACCAAGGCACCCATGGTTCACCATCGTAGGGCCTGCGGGTTGGAGTAAGAGGAGATCGGTTCCCGAAACATCGGGGAGTCCTTTCGGGTATTGAGGCGATAAAGATCGTGGTCGGTCAAAATAGACCTATGCTACAATATGGTGGTTGGCTGGGGACGTTGGCGCGAGGGTTTGGGAAGTAGGGTAGAAGAGGTCCGTGTGGGCCGTGGCGTGGACTCCATCGGTGCAAAGTTGTTGATTTCAACGGGTCCCGTCTTAGCATCCAGGGGGGTGCTGATTAAACGGTTGGGAGGATCGTATGATTCTCATAGCACTAAACCCACAAAATCTATCCCGAATTAACTCATCGTTTGCAGTAAAATATCTTCATAGGGGACTGGTAAATGGGCTGGGGATCAGACTCTCGTTCCATTAAACCCTAACCCGTGAAAAGGTAATCAGTTTCCAAAGGCTGTGTTCGTGTATCGTTCTGCGGTACGTGTGGTCTGGTGCCTCTTACACCTGCTTTTCCGTTTCCGACATGGCGAACTTGGTCTTGACTGGTGTACCTCTAATCCTCGATTGGTTGTGCTGTTCTCTTGTCTGAACCACTACTTTGGTCCTCCGTTGTATTTAAATTTGACGGAGCATCAGACAAATCATTCGGTTATTCTCTGCACTCTTCTTGGGGGGTCACCGAATGGGCCGATAGGTTGCGTGATCGATCTAATCGATTAGCATCCACCGGCCTGACACCTTTTTGAATCATGAACAACCTGCACTTTCTTGTAGTTGTCGACTAAAATATTGTCGCCAAAGATTTCGGGTCACGAGGAACCACCCTATGTGGGAAATAATTGGCCCTGGGATCAATTGACATCTTTTTGTCTCTGACATCCTACCTACGGCCAACCATCGCACCGCTTTCCGGTGGCTCCGGTCTTGTGCTATCTCCGTGTGCTAACGGGGTGACAAGATCAGATGATACCCCTCGTGCTCCATAATATATGTTACCCCATTCAGTTGTGGGTCGGGCGCGGTATCGATAGAATTTACATCTGTTCTGGTTGGCTGTCGATGGCGATGGCCGTCAACTCCGGCGGACCCATGAAAATAGCGGCGGTCGGATGTGGGTATCCGGACTGGGGGGTGGCGCAATATTATTGACTCTTGCGCTGCAATACCGCGACTGAAACCGGTGGCCGGCATGGGCGTACCTTCCCCTAATCCCTGCTTGTTTAGGCTGCTTCGGCTTAGGCTGCTTCGGCTGCTTCGGCTTAGGCTAAAGAGCTTCGGTTTCGGCTAAAAAGACACATAACAAAGGCACCCCGAACGCGCGCTATAACTCACATGTATCATGTAGAGATAGAATCGAAACGTTTTCATAGTCGGCGGACTCTGATAAGCGATAAGGTACACAATCAAAACGAAGGCGCTCGGAACCAATATCATCTGCACATACTGGTAGAAGCTATCAAAACGCAGGTTTTATTATACATAGAGTGCGCTCACGATTGCCAGATGGGTTCTTCAAAATCTTGCATAGATATCATGGTAGCGCGACCACAAAGTGGGTGTAGATACTCACGACAAAGGTTGCTTTGGGCCCCCAGGAATTTCACCTGTCTTCACGACTACATCACAGGGCAGTAACCGGAAGGGGTAAATCGGCCGATCAGCTAATCAAAACTGCACTTATGAAGAGTGGCTTCGTGTTTGAATTTGATAAGCCTACATGGCCATTTGTGGTGTTCCTGCCGAAATTACCACTTATTTTCCTGTTATTAGAACCCGATTGAGACCGATATAACTTTATCGAGCGTCAGCAAGATTATTATAGCTGTATTATCAATCTTCACTTCAATTTTGCCCCCCAGGACACTGTCTCGTTGGTCGTAGGACTCCTTGGAACACCCGTCGTCCACATTGGAACCAATATGGGCCTCGCAGTGCGTCGTGCTGAATTAGCCTTCGTGTCACTCGGGCTTTCAGTGAAACTCTCACCTAACCAAACCCTGCACAGCCCCCGCATATGCTTCTTGTAGCTGTCAATATAAAAATATTGATAGCACAAAAGATCTCGGTACTTCCCAAGAAAAACCAGAGCCTGAAATGTAGGACATTGCTGAAAGAAAAAGCGATTGGAATGATTTCTATTGCTCTTTACGCACTTAAGGCCGTAATTTACCTTCCGGTAGCCATGCAGGGATCCCAAAGCCAGCCAAAATCAGCAGTATCAGCCCAGGTGTCAGCCAGATTGCCAACGTGGTTTGCTGAAACCACTTCTTTGGCGGTCACCGTAAGACTCACAGCAATAGCCACCGAGAGCACCGCCCGTTGATGCATTTTCCGGGTCTTGATGCTGATCTCCGTATGTTGACGCAGGAAGCGAAATATCAGGAAACCGCTGAGCGCTGCAGCGATATATAGGTAAACCGTGGCCACTGCGATTGCCGCCGCGAAGAGCATTATCCACGCATTCAAGTGGGCATCATAGAAGCCGACCCGAGGGTTATCAAGTAATAAGAGACGATCGGCTATCGGCATCGGGTTATCGACTGGCACGTCCTTTCCACAAACAAGTGCTAATGCAAGAAACGACACGACTGGGACGGATAGTAAGCCACCTTGAATGACGATGGCCATGTAGTAGATGTTTAGACTTGAAAATGCCAATTAGGCTGGTTTCCTGACCGGCAAACCTGACTGGAGCAGCCAGCACAAAGTAGCGATATTGAAACCAGAGCAGACCGGCGTGGGCGGTGTTAGCGAAGACACCGGCGAGAAACACGAATTGCCAGTGCGCAGAGATACCAAGTCGAACCAGGAAATTGTTGATATAGATTGCCAGGTATGGGAGACGGACCGAGGGACGCATCAGCAGCAAAGTGGCGTCAAAGACAAATGCGCAGATCTATGCGGGTTGAAGTCGAGTTTGCAAAAGCTTCAAACTCACATGCACGTTGTAGAGGTAGAACTGAAACATTTTCATGCTGGGCGGGCTATGATAGGTGATCAAGTAGAGAATCAAGAGAAAAGCGACGGGTATCAACACCGACTGTACATCCCAGTAGAACCTTAAAGACTACCAGAACGATGGAACGCGCACTGTCACCCCGAGGGTGCTGCCCCCAAGAACGCGCAGAGAGCGTCGTCATTAGTGGTGTCCCGTATAGGGCAAAGACCCTCTGGCGTTTGGGGCGACTCTGACTCCCTTCCCACTTGGCCCTGTGGTATAGTGGCTAGCGCGTCGGACTGTGGTGCGAACCATCGCGGGTTCGACCCCCGCCCGGTGCGCAACTTTCTTGCTCTAAACGATATTTCATCGTTCTAACGGTCTTTAAAAGACTTTCAACCACTGGCAATTCACTCACGCTTGCCAAAGCGGCTCTTCCATGATAGTAGGCAATACAGTTGAAGGCGACTGTTTCTTGGTCGGTTGTGAGTTAGCGATTGCCCAATGGCAAGAAGCAACCGGCTGTTTCACCTGCCCATCCGAGTCCGGGCCCAATCTCCGAAAGCAGGTGTGTTTTCCAACTACAAGTGTAGTCAGGCAACAATATGTACCTATTAGCAAAAAAACGTCGTGCCAACTTTGTGGTGTTCTAGGGCCAGGGTGCAGCCCCAAATTATACCATGCGCTGAGTAATTGCACATGCGCTCCGAACCACGTTTTTCATATTCGTCGAACAAACCCAAACCAATTATTAATCAGGGGCATCTAATACCGATGGCCGCTCTAGTTGGCCCAGCTCGGCTGGGCTTCATCGGACGGCACAGAGTTGCAGAAGCTGTTTTTGGCTGTGAGCGCGCTGAATATCTTTTGGTATCTCGCTTTTCTGGGTCGACGTTTACCAAGCGGAAGTCGCCAAAGGGTTAGCAGCCGCTTGTTATAGGTATCGCTGTAATAGATATTGAGCACAGCCCTGATTTCAGGGCTTCCCACAAGGAATCACATCGTGCTGTAGCTCATGACTGCAATTAAAAAAAGTAAATATTTCAAAGCATCGATCGGAAACATGCGGAAATATGTACCATGGGGCAAAAAACTGCCGACCTCTGGTCCGGTAAGTATGATCATTAATGACCAAGGCGTCACCCACGAGGTCAGGATTACTTCCTAGAGTTTCTCTAGTTCTTATAAAGTACCATCAATTCGAAACCGAAGTAACAGCCCTCCGATGCAGCCTCGTGTCCGCGCGCTGATTTCAGTGTGCTGTCGCAGTTAGGCGAAAATCAGATAGCGACACGCGGTGATGCTGGTATACAGGCCCGTAGCGGAACCGAAATTTCGGGGGGGGGGCAAAAATTTTGGCGGCCTCCCCAAATTCAAACCCCCCCCCCCCCCCCCGGTCGGCACTTTTAAAACATGCGAAATCGCGTCAATAATAGCGCCGCAGGCAAAAAAAAAAGCAAAAAAACGTTCGCTACACTCAAATGCGTGTGAAAACACGGCAAAAAGAGCCAAACTTCCAGCTGCAAGCCTTTCAATACATGGCTAGACGCGGAATTGAGGCTGCGGAAAAGGATTTAAATGTGGTTGCCGGCGTACTTTATGAGTACATTTTTGTAAATGGCCCGGAAGACATCCAGGATATGTTTGCACCATGATCGACGTCTTAGCCTTTTTTTAAAAATAAACTGTTGTGATCACGATAATATCGTACTCTTAGACACGGATAGAATTGGTTTTCTCATTTGAAACCAGCGCCTAAAACCCGCCTACGCGTGCGCTGGATTGCGGCCTCTGCATGAGAAATTTGACTTTCCGGTAGCTCGGGTCCTGCGGACCCTCCACCAACCACAAGCGCGTGTGCAACTGGCAAGAATGAAGAAACTATTACCAGGGTGTTCCTTGCGAGTCAGTTTGTCGGGTGATCTCGATGGTCATCTTTGATCGTGATCATGGTGATCTCTAGTGAGTTTATCCCACACTTCATTTCACAAACTTTATCGCATTTCCAGAGCTGAAAAATCGCTTCGCGGATTTTCAAGGCTTTTTATAAGATTCCCCCACCCCCGGCGTATGCTAATAGCCTCCTAACAAAGAGTGCTGGATGTTAGTTTTGCAAAAAGTCTATTTTAGTGGAAAAAAATATGCGCAACAACCTTGTGGAAGTGTACACGCAGACGCACACAGAAACACTATTTCTTATATACACTGTATATTATACAGGGTGTCCCAAAAAAAGCACCTCTCCGGCATTTGCCATATTACATCCGATCGGTCCTAAAATTGGACCAGAGGTGTATCAGACTCCAAATAACCTCAATCTTGAGTTATAGCCACATAGCTACAGTCGTTCTCGAGTTATAGCCATAATCAGGCCTGGGAATGGGCCGGCCCATTTTTCTCGGCCCGACCCGGCCCGGCCCGGGCCGGCCCGCAGCCAATTTTTCGGCCCGACATTTTGGGTACATTTTTACCAAACCAGTATATGTCATCATTTAATTTTTCCGGAGTTACAAAAACGTGTTAGATCAAGTCCGTTAATCGTCTATAGGCTTGTACAACCGATTTAGGTATAGTATGTGACGAGCATTTATTTATAAAGCGGCATACAACCAGTTACATCTTTAGTCCAATAGAAATCTGTTTTACTTAGTGGAGTTCAATTTCTTTGACGCCTACGTGTAGTTTGAACCTAAATACACTTAAATAAGGCTAACAAGGCATATTCCCAGCGTTTCTGAACATTTTCGGCCAAAAAAGCAAAAAGCAAAAGATTGACCTCGGCCGGGATCGAACCCGGGTCGTTTTCCTGATAAATCAAAGTTAAGCCAAAACTCGGATTTTTTTACTTTTAGCTGTTTAAACAGATGATTTAAGTTGAATATCAATAAGGAAAACTTATAATGTAATTAAATCACCTCATTTAAACTCAATATAACTTATTGGCAAGGTGGCGGGCCGGCCCGGGCCGGCCCGCCAGCCTAAAATCCCGAAAATCTCGGCCTTGGCCCGGCCCGGCCCGGGCCGGCCCGGGCCGGCCCGCCAAATTCCCAGGCCTGGCCATAATACCGTTTTCTATGCGATTTTTGACACTCGTTTTCGGCTATCTTTTTGGACTTTGCATCGATTTGCATAGACTTCCGGCTATGAATCCCTAATTTTACTTAAGAACTTGGGTAATTTCGAATTGTAAACCTGCTTAAATCAACGCTTATTTAATTAATTTTAGTTTGGAAAAAGTTTCTTAATGTAGAGAAGGTCTATCGGATCATTATCACTTAATGTTTAGAGGGGCTAATTCCACAAAAACCCTATGAAAAATGGAAAATAATGTTTGTTTTTTCTATAACTCGAGAATGACTGTAGCTACAGGGCTATAAATCAGGATTGTTGTTATTTAGGGTCTGATGCACCGTTGGCCCAAATTTGGGACCGATTGGACGTAACACGGCGAAATGCCAGATGGTGAGCGTGAGAGAGAACAATCAAAAAGCAAAAACAGCCTTAAGGTTGTAGTAAACGGAGATTTATATAATTTTATGACAGCAAGACCCTCAAACGGATCTCGAAACTTGCAACAAAGCACACACAGATACACGACAAAATTCTGTGGGATAGGCTATTTAACCACAGGAGGGGGCCCCCCCCCCCCCCCGGGGTGCCCCCCTCCAGGGGGGGGGGGGGGGGGTTTTTTGGGTTCCTTTTTCTTGAAAGGCCCCCCCGGTTTTGGGGGGGGGCCTCCCCCCTCCCCTCTTTTTTCCTTTTGGTTTTTTGGGTTGGGCGGTGGGATGTGGGGGGAACCCCCCCCGGTTCCCCCCCCCCCGGGCGCAAATTTTTTTTTTTTAAAATTTTTTCATCGTTTTGGTTAACAGTCAGGGAACCATATGGTTATCATGGCTGGATCTGGCTTTGTCAATCCTTTCAACGTCGCGATATTGTTCGGCGAAACTGATATTCGCCGCAGATTAGCACACGGGTTTAACTTCTGCAAAATGGGATTGGCTTTAGAGAGGTGCGATGTTAAAAATATGGTATCTAGGAAACAATCGTTGCGCCTTACCCGGCCTAATAAATACCCCCATTGAAAGATGGTATTCCGATATGGTCGAGTGGCTAACAGAACGGCCAAATTATTGCCAAGTGTATGGAGACTGTTCCATAGGCTCGTCAGCCCCACTGCTACAACGAATCTTGCGTTAGGCGAATCCATTTGTAACCTACCCCAAAGTATCGGCTCCCAGGTTGTAAGCCATAAATAGACGAGGATAAATAGACAAACTGGTGCCGCGATGAATATTACAGCCATCAAAGACTAAAGTAAAAGAATTGCCTTTCGAATAAAGCAAAACCTGTATGGCAAAGATGAGACAGAAATATCGATGCATATGTCTCGTTCGATTGCTAAGCGTCGGGTTCGACTTGACGGCAATATAGCTTTTGATGCTCATGAAGCAGACCATTAAATAGAAAATGGCGGTTATCCCCACAATGAAGGCGATAAAGCGCAAGTAATCAAGGATTTGTTCCAGATATTTTAAAAAGCGCAAGCTGTCGAGGCCGCAGAGACCTTGTTCCAACACGCAAATCTAGAAACCCCATCTTGTGTCGTGCAATGGTTATCACCTGTGCCGTGTCGTCTAGCACAGACCCTTGCGCGCAGGCCTGGGAATTTGGCGGGCCGGCCCGGGCCGGCCCGGGCCAGGGCCGAGATTTTCGGGATTTTAGGCTGGCGGGCCGGCCCGGGCCGGCCCGCCACCTTGCCAATAAGTTATATTGAGTTTAAATGAGGTGATTTAATTACATTATAAGTTTTCCTTATTGATATTCAACTTAAATCATCTGTTTAAACAGCTAAAAGTAAAAAAATCCGAGTTTTGCCTTAACTTTGATTTATCAGGAAAACGACCCGGGTTCGATCCCGGCCGAGGTCAATCTTTTCTTTTCTTTTTGGCCGAAAATGTTCAGAATGCTGGGAATATGTTTTAGCCTTATTTAAGTGTATTTAGGTTCAAACTACACGTAGGCGTCAAAGAAATTGAACTCCACTAAGTAAAACAGATTTCTATTGGACTAAAGATGTAACTGGTTGTATGCCGCTTTATAAATAAATGCTCGTCACATACTATACCTAAATCGGTTGTACAAGCCTATAGACGATTAACGGACTTGATCTAACACGTTTTTGTAACTCCGGAAAAGTTAAATGATGACATATACTGGTTTGGTAAAAATGTACCCAAAATGTCGGGCCGAAAAATTGGCTGCGGGCCGGCCCGGGCCGGGCCGGGTCGGGCCGAGAAAAATGGGCTGGCGGGCCGGCCCGGGCCGGCCCATTCCCAGGCCTGCTTGCGCGTATGCCCTCCAAAGCACTCCATTTAAACTGAGCATCAGGAAAATGTAAAGCACAAAAACATAACGCTTCGCATGTGCGTTAAATTTTCGGTGTGCCTGCGTTGCACTGGCCGTCTTTAGCACTCCTGTATAAAGCAACGCACACATGGAATGGATCATAAATGAGAGGTAAAGGATCTAGAAGGATCGAATGCTATTGGGAAAACTGTAGTTACCACAATGAGGTGAAACGCAAAACTGTTCAGGTGGAAAATGCTCGATGTTTTCACAGCCCTGTACGGGGCGTAGAAGATTGGTTTAATGGCAGACACCATTGTATCGGTCAGCTCGGCGCTGATCTGAGAAGCGTTGAATATTTGAAAGTAGCAAGCGCTGGGAGAGAAAATTCAAAGCCTCATATGGCTGTTTCATTACGTATACAGGGTGTCCCAAAAAATCCCCCTAGCCGGCCGCAGACCCACCCGATTTTTACGATTTAGGTATCTATCAAAAGCTCTCGGAAAGGCGATGTCGGGACGCCTGGTCGATTTTCGAAATGTCGAAATTTTTTGCTCGATTTTCGGCCTTTTTCAGGCAAAAAGGACTCGCTTTTTTGTCCAAAACGCAATTTAACCGGTTTAAGCGCTATCCAAGCTGTGTTTTCGCAAACGGCTTTCAAAGAGCTGTCGTTGGGCTGCCAGGAAAGGCATAAAAAAATCTTAAATTGCGATTTTTGTAAAAAACGCCTTCTCAGAAAAACATCAGAAAATCCGCGCTTTTCGCAAAAAACATTAGTAAATGATAAAAAAATTTCGACATTTCGAAAATTGACCAGGCGTCCCGACATCGCCTTTCCGAGAGCTTTCGATAGATACCTAAATCGTAAAAATCGGGTGGGTCTGCGGCCGTAGGGGGGATTTTTTTGGGACACCCTGTAGATGGCTTACCACAAAGTTCAGCTGCGTTATTTTGTATTCCCTTGAAAGGGGAGCCCTTCGGCTGCAGATGAAGTATACATTCAGGCAGCAAGGCACTGCGCCGAGAAACCAGAAAAAATAATATAAGCCGACAATCCATATTTCAGCACACTGCGACGGATAAAACATTCGAATGAGGGGTCCGCGGGGCCCAGGATCATTAATGCACCAACAACGACCGGTCGATAGACGCATGCATGTTCTGGAGGGCAGGTGCAACAAGAAAACAACGTTCGCAGGCTAGCGTCTTTTCCAGCTGCAGGGCAGCTTTCGGGGAACTTTGGCCATTGATCCAGCAAATGGAAAGTATTTGCGTAAGCAAATAGTGTCGGGTTGCATTCAAGGACTGATTCATTGAACCAGATAATTGTCCTGGGTGGATACCATGGAGTTGTCAAAGTGGAAAATCGGGATTGCGAGATTTGGCGGAGATTCAGAAGCCAGGTGGACATTTGGACAGGAGTCAGTTTCTGGAAAGGCCCAAATATGAAGGACTCAACCCAATTAATGTTAATGTCGAAGTCAAAAATTTGGCACGCGTTCAGAAGATGCTCTGCAAAACGGCGACTTATCGGAAGCCTACCCTGTACGTAAAATCTAAAAGTTGCACCATAACTTCTCTGTAGGCTTACGCAGCACGCACGCCGATGGGTCAGGACTTGGTTAGGATGGATTTAATGATTAGGGAACTAGGGAAAGGGAATAATGTCTTAATCGATTGAACAACCTACGACATTAAACCTCCCCCCGCCCGCTAACGAACCAGATCCGAGGTTAGTATCTGATCCTGGAGTGCATTTAGAGATCCACCATTTTTTTGAGAAAGTTTTATGCGCAGTACACACACATGGACACTACATTTCACAGCGGTATCACAATTAGAGAAATGAAACGACTGGATAACACACGGTGCGGATGGGGGAGGGCGAGCCGGGCGGACTGGATAGGGTAGAGGAGGATAATTTTTTTGTCGAATTCGAGTGGTAGGGAAATGCACAGCGTAATATCATGAACATGGGGGTAGTAAGCTTGATTTTGGAAGTTGGTATCTAATCGTGGTCCATAGTTTTCCTTCGCAAAATCAAGCAGAGACCAGGCACGGTCGCGGCAGCACACAAAAATTGAAACTGGACGAGGGGTATTGAGGCGGAATTTTTAAGAGATTTTTCAGACTAAGATACGTTACAGGATTTTTTACAAAAATTCTGAAAAATCCCTCGCCAAAAAAAGATCTTACTGGGCTACTCGCATCTCTTTGAAAGTCAGTGTTTTTAAGCACGTAATACAAAATACAGGATGAAAATGGCTTCTGACCTGCCGAGCGTCGGGGGAAATTTGGTAGTTTTTGGATGTGTGTGTATGAAATAGTCAATTGAGTGAGAAATGGAGGAGCGAAAAAATTTCACTGCCGGGCAGTTGTACAACCGTTCGATTGAGATGTTGGTTTTTTGGGGGGTAAGGACGATTTTAATGGTATATTTAATGAGGTTTTGATGGCTTCAAAATTTAGTATCTGGCGTTAAAATCGTCCCCAAACAATCCCCAAAGATACAGACCAGAATCGGGGACCCAGAAGCGAAAATCGGGCAAAAAATGGTCGAAAGTCGGAAAAAATGCGATAAATTGTGGATATAGTATCGTAAGGTATCGGTAGTTGGGTATAATTTTTTGCGGGTATCACATTGCGAGGCGAGAACAGATCGGACTGGGCGGGAGGGGAGCTTGACTGAGTTTTGAAGGGATTAGGAAGGCAAATCAGAATCTATCCACCTGGGCAAATAGCCAAAAATGGCGCAATTCTAACCTAACGTCCGAATCCACTTTTGAAAAATCGATCGAAAAGTATAGATTTAAATTAACAAAATTTTCAATCGATTTTCGGGCTTCCAATACACGTACGACCAGTGGGACAAGATCGCGGGCTTCTTGAGGGAAATTGACCCATAGTTAAGTGTAGGGGCATGGAATTCGGAATTTTAGCTTCTGTGGGGGGTACTTTCAAAAAGTGCGACTTCGCGCTCCGGTGCTCAAGCACTCGCCCGTTTGTGGGTTTTCGGTGATGGGGATGTGGGTTTGGGTTTTGGGTTGTATTTAGTAACTTTAAATGAGGTTTCAATCTGTCAAAACGGTCTAAACCCAAACCCACTTTTCAAAAAATTTCTCACTGACTCGGGCCTGGACTTACTAACAGAGAAGGGTACAAAAGTATACACAAAAATACACAAAATCTAGTAGCGGGGCGTAGTAGAGAAATAATATATAAGCAGGGCGGGCGGCGGCATTAACGTATAGTGAAATGGTGCGGATCATGTTTCTGCGGCGTGGCTGAGAAAGTGTGAATGCGGCTGTGACTGGTTTGGTGGGTACGGTGGGTAGGTAGGTAACTTTAAGAGAAAACTAACGGGTAACCACGTACTTACGGAATTTAAGAGACTGGGCAGCAATTTGTGGAAGGGATAGAAAAATTAGGACCAGTGGTGACGACCGTTTTATTGTTAGGCTGGGAGAGATAGAAAGTTGGGTGAATGGCAAAATATAATGATTTCCGGATCACACTGGGGTAGAGAGAAAGTGGTGCGGTTGCTGAGTAGGTGTGGGAAATTATGGTATGGAATTTTAGGGCAGGTTTTTAGGGTATCGTGGCGATTCTGAGCTTTAAAAATAGAATTTTTAGCCCCAAAGACCTCCAAAAACGTCCTGAAACCCCTTAACTAGCCGCCAAATACTAGCAAATATACAGAAAGCCGGGTACTGGACGTCTTCTACAAGTAAGCATGGATTCGGTGGGGGGCACAAAGCACGGGAGTGGGACCGTATTTTTGGTAGAGATTGTTGTATGTTTCGGGTATCAACTGGGCATCAAAAAAATCGTATCGACGGTGTACGTACAGAAGAAGTGACTATCCCTTGGAAGTAGCTATCGTGTGGCTAGTGGGGAGTTTAAAGGGACTCGGACACTAATGGTTCTGGTCGAGGAACGGGTAGTAGGGCTCGCTGCCGAACTCTTGCTCCACGGGGTTGATGCCGGACTCGGTGAGGAGGCGGCGAATGTTCTTGGCCTGTTGGGAGAGCTCGATGCGTAGCGTGGTCACTTGGATCACCATTCGGTCGTAGTCCATCTAAAAAAAATTAATAATTAATGCAAGCTGAAATATGCTATTTCCATGCTATTTACTAACGCGTAATTTTATTGCCGGGTACCAATAATGATAACCTTAAATTATGGTCTAGCAAATTTTTTGGATTTGTCTTGTTTTTGCCATAATTATTTCTATTCCATTATTTTGAACAGCAATTAAAAGAGCGATTTTCTATCATATCCAGTTGTAAAAAACCGAAAAACTACAAAAGTATGAAAATATTGGTATCTGGGCTTCATTAATGCGTGACGAAACACGAAATAAATGATAAATGCCTCAAATTCTAGCTGTCACTATCCCCTTAGTTTTTAAAAGTTTTAGCCAACCTGCTGACTCTCGTTCATAAAGTGCTTCGGGCTGTTCGTGGGAATCTCCTGCCCATCCGGCTTGCTGACGGCCACAAGCTCGCCCATGTCCCTTTCGACCGTCTCCAACTCGGGCAGCTTGTTCAGCAGCGTGTTGATGTGGGTCAGCACCTAAACGATACATTAAAAGGCGTCTCTATATTTTACTTACGCTTGGTGGTAGCTGCTTTAATGAAGCTGCATTGTGGAAATCGAGGTATCCCTTGTCTACGGCGAGTCGGATCTTTTCGGCCAGGTTTTCGATATGGCCACCACCGGGGGAAGCTGCTTGAAGGGCTGAAAAATGGTATGTGTATCCTATTAATTCATCTCAAAAAAAAATTGCTAAGTTACATCTAAAAAGTTACGTAAGTCAGGTTTCTAAAATTTAGCTTACCACTAGACCAATTCGCATCCGACGAAAATTGCTGGCTGGTCGGCGGGAAGTCCCAGCTTGCCGAATTTCCTCCCAAATTCTCCTTGGCCCACAGCTGATCGTCACTGAGGGTCTTGTTCGGGTCATTGTCAGGCAGATCTCCCCATCCGGTCGACACAATCGTTCGTTTCGCCGTCGTCGTGGCCGCAGAGGCCGAACGCGGAGAATCGAGTTCCGACTGCAGATCCGTCTTTAAAAGTACGGATTTAAGTGGTTGCATAGGCTAAAGAGAACCGGGGCTTGAGGACATTTTTTGGAAACTCACTTTTCTGGGCACCGGGCATTTTTGGAGGGCGGCTTCGTAGTCTTCTTCTTGACCCTCGTCCACGGTCCACATCTTGACGGGACGTTGGGCTAAAAATAGAGCTTGTAATAGCCTTCCAAATGTCGGAAATTATGTCTCAGCTTTCAATATTCAAAAGTGTCCCGCACTTTTTCGACAAGTCGGAAAAATATGATTTAGAGAGTGCACGCCTAAACTACAAGTTTTCCCCCACGACTTCAACACGTTCTAAAAAAATAAAACTGCTGTAGGCATTGTTTAATGTCAATAGCCAAACATTTCGCCGCGCGTTTTCAACAAGTTCAAAAAATTGTGTAGATATGGTACTTGCCAGGTTTGAAAAGTATTGTATAAATATAGTACTAACTGCGTAATTTGAACGTGCAAAATTTTCGCACACGTCTTCAACAATTCAAACGGGTTCAGAGGTTTTTATGTAAATCTCCACCCACCAGCCTTATCCGGATCGCCCCAAATATTAACTCCAGTGTCCCTCTGCCACTTCTTCAAATCCCCGTTTGGATCGTGCCACACCATGCTGTCGTTCTCGGGCGGTGGCGGCGCTCCGGCAATAAATTGCCCCATGCCCCCTTGGCTCATCGGCTTCTGCCCGTACGGCGACCCAAAGTCCACGTTCTGGGCTTGGAATTCTGGAACTGATCGTGATCAAGGGTTAGCGTTGAAACGCTTACGGTTATCCGGGGTGAACTGTGGATTCCGCATGCCCATCGCCGCGGGATCTTTCCACATCTGAGGTCCGGCTGGGGGTGGGCCTCCGCGCATTCCCATGTGGCCTTGGTACTACAAAGGTATAGGTTCTTAGGTATCGAGGTTTTAAAACGGCCAGACGTTTATTCTTAATGATGATGGCACAATTAATGCTTTTTTTGCAATTCAGAGGTTACTGAAGTACCCTCTTGGATTAAATTTATGGAAACTAACCGGAATATCAATAGGCGGCGGAATCGAGAGGTCGACAAATCGTCCATTCGGCCCTCCTCCTCCTCCAGGTCGTCCGCCCCGCTGTCCCATTCCACCTCGGCCGCCTCCGCCAGGTGGCCCATTCCATGGGGCCATCCCTTGCGGGGGCCCATTCATCCCCGGGATCATACCGCCTGGGGGCCAGCCATTTCCTGAAAAAAATATGAGGCTTAACCAGGTAAAAAATGGAGGGATCTGTCTGATCCAAGACAGGAAAAACAGCTTTCTCAAATTGAAAACCGAACTCGATTGACCGTGGACAATGTAATGCTTCTATTCTGGGGTTAAAAAGATGTGGGCGTCTCGAAAGAGTACCAGACTGTTGCTGCTCAAATCATCCAATCCCGGGGATTAAGCGAGGGTTTCCACCCACATGTTTTGCCACCTATTTTCTATGCAATTTCCAGAGATCTCAATGTACGAAGACGACAAAAGTCGTCCAGACCAAATAACCCTAATCCCAGTTTTAAGATCGAGATGCGGCTGTGGCTTATGCTTTGAAAATAAAATCCCAAACACCAACCTGCCATCGGGGGCATCGGCCGGCCCATGGGCGGTGGCGGTGGTTGGCGCATCATTTGCGGGGGTCCAGGTGGCCCATTCCACCTTCCGTTGGGTACCCATTGTGGGTGTTGCCCGGGGTGTGGTGGCCCCTGTTTCCACATTTCTTCCTGCTTCATGGGTGGACCACCGGGGATCTCCCACGTGCCGTCGGGTCTCATGTATTCGCCGACCATGCCGTCGATCATACCATTGGGGCCCACTGAAAAAAGGTGTAATTAATACGTGAAAATAAGTTATAATAACACCAAAGATAAAACCGCGATTTTTCGTTTGGAAGCTGTAAAGAAAGTACAAAATTAATACTTAGGTGTTCTAGGATATTGATGGACGTAGAAAATAAGCTATACTCAGTTTAAATAACGTTAAATTACGGCTAGTACTCTTTATCTAGAAGATAGAACGATAATTGACAACCTAATAGGTAGTCTAACCTAGGATCTAATAAGGCGAAAGCAACCTCGTCTACAAGACTCACTCGGATGCATCGGTGGGCCGACTCCAAAGGGCTGCGGAGGTTCCATATGCCCATCGGGTTGCCATATCTGCTTCATGTTGTACTCATCCGGGGTTCCATTTCCGCCGGGTTGCGGTTGCCAAGCCCCCGCCGGCATTCCCATCGCCATACCGTCAGGGCCGGGACCTGCAATCGGGATTAGAAACCGTAAGTCACTCGCCGTCTAGCACGCTTATTAACCAGGCATAAGGCATCTCTACTTATAGATTTTCCCTGCCGTCAATCACATGAGGATTGTTCTGCGCTCGCGACACGCGCCGCTATGAATACACACGCGTTACGTTTCGCGGATACGGCAAAATCCGAAATCAAGCCTTCGCCGTTGCTTTACGTAGTTAAGGGATCATTTTGTTGCAAAAGCATTAACATCATAAAGCCTTTACCATTAACGAGAATTATATAGAAAAGACTCTGCTAAAAACCCACCCATCTGATTCGGATCCTGCCAGGGATTCCTCCCGGGAGCCGGGGAAACGTGGCCCCATCCGCCTGCTGTTGACGGACCCGCGCCGCCAGCCGGCCAACCCTAAATACAATTTGCATAAAACGGACAAAAAAATCATGAATCCATGCCTGATACATTAACGCATGATTTTCTCTCTCACAAACGGACAAATTTCATACTTTAAAGCTTATACCTTCTTCATCGACTTAAATTATTATAATAGTAAGCCAGCCGGAATAATCCAAGAATTTAACGTTGTCTATTTTCGGGCGTTTCAGCGTGTTGTGTGGAATTGGGTGGTGGAATGGAGAGCGAGAGGAATTGGTAGGGAGGGGGGTAGAGAGTGGGGTAATCGCGGAGAGGGGCAGAGAAGTGTTCGCGCGACGAAGGTTCCGCACAACGCTCGAGAGGAGGGCCGATCGATCGATATTTTAAGGGGGGGGTGGCGGGCGATGGGAGTGACCAAAGGGCAAACCCCGGGCGGATTGTCAACAAGTCAGGGTATTGGGTTTTCGCATTGAGATAGTATAGTATTAATGGGTTGTTAATGGAAAAACAACTAAAAAAACCCTAGGAATTGATTTTAGACAACTACTATGTTTGCAGGGCTCAACTCAACTTGATAAAAATGTCTATGTTTTTATAACCTTTTAAGATATTTTATGGTGGCATTTCAGTGTTTTATTGGGATTGTCCTACCGAAAAAAAATAGGAAAACTTTCCGGGTTTTGAGTCTTAGCCAAGGTTCTTAATTTGATTAATGTCGCATCAAGGATTTCTAAATCTGAAGACATTTTTTGGACAGGAGCGATCCGATTTGGGAAAACAATTAGCTCGAAAAATGTCATGAGCTTTTTTAGAGAATTTGCACACCTCAAAGACAATTAGTTCTACTCTTAACGCTAAATTCCTCAATTTTAAAAGTTTTTTGATATAAAAATGCGATTGAAATCAATTAATGTCTTATTTTGGTCCGCGACGTTTTTTCCGCATCGATCCAACTCACCAAAATGACCTGCGCCGGGAACGGCGTCACTAACATGATCGAAACGGGTTCAGTAGTTTCCAGTTTTCAAAAAGCGACGGCCTCGTGTATGTATTAGGAGTGAAAACTGTTTGCCCACCGGCCGCACATTTTTACCCTCGGCCGTCTCCCGGGGCGCCCCGCCCCATGTGACCACCGGGGGAAAACAGCAAAAAAATAAGCCAGCGAGATTCGGCCAGCGGCCACGCGAGGTGTTGGCCAAAACAAGATCGGACTAGGGCGCGGAGCAGGTGGTGCGGGAAAACATGAATATGTCGGAGTGAGTCAGGGGGGTCAGAGCGCAGTGTGTTCGGTTGATCACGCCAGTTCTAAATTGGTCTTATTGAAACGGTATTTCAAAAGCCATTGGGCTAGTTTTTCAAGTTACAATGCCAAAAACGGTTTTACAAGTTGATCTTGAGATGTAACTAGGCTTAAAAAAGCTTACTGAACTGAAGGTCCGCGAATTTCTGAAATTCCTAAATAACTAAATAACTGAATTTACGTCAGTAGAGCTTTTTGTAGGGTATATTTAAGTGTCGAACTGAATTTACGAGCTGAGCTTGAGGTATATGAAACTGCAAATCGTTAATGAACTAAAAAACATCCAAATTGTTGGTCTTATCGTCATAATTACGTCATTATAACATGTGTTCCAAGCATTTTGGGGAGGAATTGGCAAAATATAAACCCTCCATACCTTCTTATGCCTCACCAAAGCAGATTACGTTTCCTGGGTGTTCTTACCGATTATAAAGCTTTTTCGCTAGCGCTAGATAACTTTCGCGTATTTTTAAGGTAACCTTCAAACACGTAATTTAATTACGGCAGGATATACGTACAGAACAACAGTATGGATTGTACCTTGTCGTATTTCGTTAAGTTCAGCAATTTTCAAACTTTTCGTCATAATTACGTCATGCTAGCTTATTTTTAATGTGAGTCAATTTAATTATGGCCTAAACAGCCTTGCTCGCGTTGTATATTCCAGACAAAATTCTGAATTCCCTTCTAAACGACTCTCTCTAACTTTCGGGCCGACCCAAACCCGTACCGGTTGCGGCTGGTGGATGAAGGGTTGATGCGGGCCGCCCGGTTGAGCCGGTATCTGCGTAAACGGGGCCGTGGCCATAAGCGGCTGCGGTTGGCCGGGTTGTTGGCCTTGATGGTGGGCCCGGATTATGGCCTGCGGCATCACCGACGATTAGCCTCGGTTGCACGCACGCACCAACAAGTCACACCTATTTGAAGTGAGGAAAATGATGGATTTCACGAAAGGGAATGCAGAGAAATGGTCGAGGTGATGAAAATTGAATTGAAGCCGTGAAAACAGAAAAGATATGAATGTTTTTCAATTAGAGCCGCTCAGAAATTGGCCGAGAATCAGGCGATCTGCCATAAAAATCGATGAACAACCCCGTTTCGCCCGAAAATTTGGTTCAAGTACACAACATTCCCCCGATAAAATCTATATGAGAACCCAGCCCAAATACAGCTGGGCGCACAAAGCTCTGGCTGCGGCGTCGATTTGGGGCGGAGGGAGAATCGTTTTGGAAAGAGGCGCGTGGAAAGCGAAGCGATTGATAGGACTGGGTGGAAGGGGGGGCAGGAGCAGCAGAATGAGGAGAAGAAGAACGACAAGAAGAAGAGGAAGGAGGAGAGGGGGAACTGGCCGGTCGCACACACAAGAGCACTGTCAAAACGAGGCTCTCCAGTCTTTCGGATTTGTCTCTAGCTATCGCTGGTCTCGCGTTTTCTCTTTCTCACTTCCTCGCGCTTTCTTGGTTCATCGCGGATCTGTAGCACGGATCTCACGGTCGCTGACATGGTCTCTCTCTCGCTCTCCCTCTCTCTCTCTCTCTCTCTCTCTCTCTCTCTGCCTCTCTCTCTCACCCAAACAAGGACCCCCACCGCCAGTGAGTCCAGATCCCTGAAAAACTGTCACCCCTCCTCCCTCCTTCATTCCGGACCCCTTGTCTCCCAGAAACTGATTCTAACCCATTAAAAAAGTAGTAGAACCGAACCTATCACGTTTTATTAACAATACTATGATATAAATATTTCATTTAAAAGCATATCTAAAATAATATTTATCCAAACTCAGACATCTTGCGGCGACCCGAAATGATTAGTGCCAAGACCTGTCTTTTGGAAGCCTCAAAGTTGGGAATTTTGTGGTTTGGACAGACAGACAGACAGACTACAGATGATTTTTGCAGTCGTTGCACTTTTTATAGACTTACCGACCGTTATTACTATTTAATTGTATCCCTTTTCCATTAATTTGAAACACCCACCTGCCCAGGCCCGACATCTTGCCGCCAGGGCCCCTCATCTATCACCATGTTCGCCACTGATCGTTCTAGGTCCATCTAGGGACTATCTGAAACGGCGAGTTTAGCTTAGCATCCATGATCAAAAAATCAAAAATTTTAATATGGCGTTTTTAAAATTGAAATTCGCATACGGAGAATTTACACAACATTCTTAAAGCTTCATTTCTTTGAAAATGGTTTTAAAATAATAGACATGCCACGCTTACATGAATTTCAAGTAAAAAAATGCAACAGAAATGATTCTACAAGATTTGTTTTTACAATTTTTTGCGAATGCAGTTTTTATTATTTTTATGGCAATTAAGTTAATTTTCATGCCCAGAATTGAAAGAAGAACAAAAATTAGAATTTATTAACCACCGAAGCGAGAACTAAAAAAATTTTACCTGGCCGAAGCTAGAGCCGGCTAGCCTCGCGTTCGTGTCGGGGATTGCTGGAAAATTCTTATAAGAAAAATTGGAATTTTTGACATGAAAAACATATCGAAATCAAGGTATTCCATAAAAACCACGATTCAAAAAAAGGTCAAAAATTTCCGTTGAAAGCATAGAACCCCCGGTTGCGGCAGAAATTCGAGACTAACGCCCCGGTGTGTCCCGGGGAGTCTAGAGAGAGGACGAAGGTTGTGTGTGTGGCCAGCCACCAACGAAACGATCGATAAGTGCCCGAGGGCAGAAATTTATGCTAAGCTATAGACATGATGGCGCAAGGAAAATAGCTATGGAACGGACTGCCAGACGGCATGGCGCTGTCTTTTTGGTTTTGGACGAGCGAATATCGGACAGTTGCGGGCGGGGGGGTCGTAAAAGTGACAATATTGACAGTAGGGGACCGATTTTTTGGCACTTTTTCCTAGAAAGCAGTTAGTAGACAGAATAATGGAAACCGCGGAATTTGGACCCGAATCCAGGTGCGTGAAGATCAATTTATAACTAAAAATTGAAAATCATTCAGGATGGTGCGACAACAAGCTTTTAGAAATCGTAATTTTTAATCGTAATTTCACGTGACTATTACGCTACGATATTAAATGCTAATAAAAAGACATAAAATAATAAGAACGGAAGGAATTTGCATCAAAACGGAGCGAATAGTGGAGTAAATTCCGCAAGGTACTTTAAATAAAACTATAATCAGCCAAGTCACTAAAGCCGTAGAAAATAATTTTGATAACTTCAAGGCCACGAATTACGGTCGATTTTCCAAGTACGCTGTGGTAGGTTATACTTCCATGGGTGCTTCTCTACCCGTGTGTGCAGTTTTGGGTAGAGGAAGCCCCCGTATGAAGGCGGGTTGAA